CNCACGGCAGGCCCTCGTTGGCGAGGCCCAGCGCGACGACGACGACGTCCGGCCGCAGGTCCGCGCCGCCGACGGACGCCGCGTAGAGCGCCGTGACGCCCGTGTTCGCGCCGCCGACGGCGGCGTTGAGCACGCGGTAGTTCGCGCCGTACCGGTCGACGAGGGCGGCCTCGAGGAGGTCCGCCCAGCCGCGGCCGCTGGACGCGCACTGGCCCGCCGCGACGGACGACCCCAGGATGAGGATCGTGCGCTGCGGCGGCGCTGTCATCGTCGTTGTCGCGGTCGCTGAGAGGCGGCGCCCATCGTCTGAGGGGGCTGCCCCAAGCTTGCACTTCAATTGAAGGGTAATTAATTTTATACAAGCTCCTCCCGGCGAAACGCGCCCGCCGATAGCGCCCAAGCCGATCTCAGCAGCCCTCCTGGCAGGACCCCTGGCAGCACTCGAAGTCGTCGAGGAACATGTTGGTCTTCCGGCACTGGGCGACGGCGTCCGTCGTGTCCTTGCCGAGGCCGCGGGCGATGGCGTCGGCGACGATGGAGAAGCGCTGGCGGAACTTGTAGACGAAGCAGAAGGAGAGCTTGCCGTGGCGCACGGCCGGGCCCACGAGGAAGAGGCCCGGCGTCTTCGTGCTCTGGTCGTACTCGTCGAGGAGCGGCGCGCCCTCGGCGCAGCCGCCGCCCGCCGGCGCCTTCGCGTCGGGCACCTCCTCCACGGCGACCTCCTCGATGACCAGGTCCTCGGCCTCGGCGCCCGCCTCCAGAACGACGTCGTCGTCGGCCGTGCCCCACGCGAAGAGGTCGCGGACCGCGCCCTTGGCGACGGAGCCCAAAAACCCCGCGCAGAGCACGGGCGCCTGCGGCGTGCGCAGGGAGATCTCGCCGCCGTTCTTCGGGCGCCAGTTGATGGGCTTCGTCATGGGCGCCCGCAGGGCGCAGTTCTCGTGCTCGACGACGGGCCCCCACGTCGCTTTGACGACGAAGCCGCCCTTGTCCGCGTCCTTCTCGACGGCCGTGACCTTCAGCGGCGCGAGGAGCCGCGGCGGCGTCTTCGTCCGCGCCGCGACCCGTAAGCGCTCGCCCGTGAAGGGCGCGAGCTCCGCCGACGGGTCCGCGGTCGTACACCGCGCCGGCGACTCAGCCTCGGAAGAGAGAGCGCGCGCATCGCCAGCAGCGCGTGTCGCGCCCATCGCGGCGTAACTACGATGCAACGCCATCCCTCAACGCAAGCCGACGCGGCGCACGCGCTTCCCCGCCTCTTAGGGCGCGGCGCGTCCGCGTCCTAGTCCGCGTGCAGCGCGGTCAGCGCGGCGACGACGTCGAGGGACTCGAGGACGTAGTGGTCGCTCGGCGGCGCCTCGTCGTGGCCCCAGACGCGCACGCTGCCGAAGGTGGACCGGACGGCAGGCGCGCCGTCGCGCTCCTCGAGGACGACGCCGACGACGCCCGGCGGCGTCGGCACGTCGCGGCCGAGGAGCCGCCGGCCGCGGAAGGCGGTCTGCAGGTCGTCGCCTAAGAGAGTGCGGGGTTTGCCGCTCCCGCGCGCGCAAGCTCGCGCGCGCGACGCCGGCGCCGCACCTTGGCCTTTCACGAGGAGCCGCGCGGCGACGTCCGCGTCGCCTTCGTAGGCGATGTTGCACGGGAGCGACTGCACGTTCGACGTCATGGCTTCGGCGCAGACGCGGGTCGTTGCGTGGAACGGGGATCGGCGCGTGCTGGCGCTCGAGATTTTGAAAAACAGAGCTCCAGACTCGTTTGGACAAAGTCAATGTCGAGCAAAGCGTCGATGTTGAAGCACCATGGCTGCGCGACATCAAAGAGCTATCCCCCTCATGAATGCGTGGCGCTTTCGAAGGCCGAGACCATCGATTCATCGCGCAGCCGCTCCGCGATGTCCAGGCCATCGCCACAACTCGACGGGTGGTCGCGCGCCGACAACCAAAAAAAAAACGAGCGCACCCGGAGCGCGCAGCAGCGGGCGGAGGATCGAATAAACATGAGATTTACATTAGGAGAACGCGGAGTACGGGTCCCACGCGTCCGTCGCATTCGCGGCCGCCGCGGCCGCCGCGGCCGCGGCTTCCGCGAACATCGGGTTCCAGGGGTCGACGCCGGCGTCGGTCGCCACCTCGGCGCCGAGCGTCGCGCCGAGCGTCGCCCCCGCGGCGTCCTCGGCGCCCAGGCCCTCGCGGTAGAACGCGAGGAGGTGCGAGACGTCGACCGCGCCGGTGGCCTCGTCCGCGCCCGTCTCCTCGTCCGCGAAGACGGCGGAGCGCAGCGGCCGGCCGCGCGCCGCGGCGGCGCGCGCGCGGTGCGCCATGTGCGACGACTGGCCGGGCGCCACCAAGGCCGCCGACGGCAGCGCGGCGAGCGCGGCGGCGACGAGCGACAGGCGGCGGCGCGGAGCCGCAGGCATGGGTCGTTCGGCGCGACGGTGGAAAGCGGCGCGAGTGGGAGCAGTGGCTGCTACGGGTGGTCGACGACGGCGCTGCGTGCGACCGACGCGTGGATCCACTCACTGGGCGACAATGGACGGTAACAAACGCACTTGCTCGGGACCAATCACATTCGTCGCTGACGCGGCACCCCCAACGCGAAAGTTCACAAAAAAAACGCGGCAGCCCGGAGTGCTCGCGGTCGTCTCCGAGACAGACAGTCACCAGCCGACTTCGAAAGGTCGACTCGTCGCCGTCGCCATGGCCGCGCCGCCGATGACGCCGGAGAAGGCGAAGCTCATCCTCAAGGACGCCATCCAGCTCTTCACGGTGCCGGAGAACAAGGCCAAGCTCGCCGAGGCCGTCGCCGCGGCCATGCAGCTCCCGCCGGACCAGCAGGGCATGGCGCGCGCCCGGCGTCGTCGTCGCGCGCGCGCGCGCGGCGCGCGGCGATTACGGGCACCGCAGGCGAAGATGACGACCATCGTGCCCCTCGTGACGGCCATGGTCGGCCCGAAACTCCAGGAGCACGGGCTGCCCAACGTCATGATGGGCGTCATGCAGATCCAGATGGTCGGCCAGCAGGACCCGCTCGTCGCCGAGGGCGTCAAGATCCTCACGGGCGCGACCATGGGCAACCCGCCGGGCGACGACGTCATCGCCGCCTACCTCGCGAAGATCTAGGAAGGCCGCGCGAGGCGCGCGCGTAACGGGCTCTGGGCGGACGCTGAAGCGCTCTTCTCGCGGGGGGGCGGCGCGTCGTCGGGCGCAATTCGACGACGCTCCATCATCCCGGTGACATCCCGCCGGCGGGCTATGTGAGCTCCTCCTCTCCCTTACCCCGAGCCGCCTAGTCCTCGTCCTCGTCCTCGTCCTTGTTCTCGTGCTCGAGGTCGCGCTTGTCCGGGAAGTCCCACTCGTCCTCGAACTCGGGCTCCTTGCCGATCTGGAGGTTCGTCACGTCGCGGTGGAGCTTGCGCTGCTCCGCCAGCAGCTCGAAGATCTTGAGCTTGATGGGCACGATCTTCGAGTACTGGAACTGCGCCGTGACTTTCAGGGACGCCGGCGCGGCGCCAAAGGGCAGGCCCGGCCGGTTCAGGTCGAGGTAGAGCGCGTGCGTGTACTGGTCCGCGAGGTCCGCGAGCTCGAGCTTCGCCCAGCCGCGCCGGAGCTTCTTCGAGTCGTCGACGACCTCGACGTAGACCTCCGCGTGGATCGTCTTCACGGGCGCCTGCGCAGCACAAGAGTGATTCAACGTCGCTTCAACGTGGGTGTTCCGCGCGCGCGCGTTACGGAAAACACGTCCACGCTTCGAGACCGTTCTGAGAGATGATCGCTCGTCCAAAAATCAGCCGAAACGAGTGGAAAATGGCCGAGATCGGAGCCTTTGAAGTTGGGAATTTCGCTCTCTTGTGCTGCCCTGACGGGCGCGAGCGAAAAGTTCATGTCGAAGACGAGGCGGCTGCCGTCCTCGGAGGAGCCCAGGTGCGAGTGGCGCCCGGCGCCGGCGGAGCCCCGGGGCTTCTTCGCGGGCTTGGACACCTGCGGCGGCGGCCCGACCGACCCCGCGTAGAGCTTGGCCCGCGGGTTGCCCTCGGCGTCGAGCCGCTCCGTCTGGTCGCGCACGTGGACGATGACGCGCGTCGACGCCGGGTCCACGGGGTCCTGGGGCGAGCCCACGTTCTGCGCCGACTCGACCTTGAAGTTGACCATGCCCAACGCTAAATCCGGGTTCCGCCGCGAGTAGGAAACGCCCAGATCCTCGCGGAAGTGCTCGACGGCCTGCGCCTCGCGGAACTGGTCGCGCATCTCCTTGATGTTCTTGTCGCAGATTAATAACCGCCGCCGCAGGTACTCCAGGCGCATCATCGTCGGCCGGTTCATCTTCTCCGTCCGCAGCGCCGCGACGGACAGGCTGTCGGCGTCGACGGCGTTGCACGGCGCGCCGTCGTCGTCGTCGTCCTCGTCGTCGTCGAAGACGACGTTCTTGTGGCGGTTCACCACAAAGGCCTGGCGCCGCTTCAGCTCGTTGAGCGCCGTCGGCTCGTCGTCGATGTACGCGTGCATGCCGATCTTCAGCGCTAAAATCACCTGCTCGAGCACGAAGAAGATGATGACCTTCTGGAGCAGGTTGTAGGTGTTGAGGCTGTGCGTCGTGAAGACGATGATGGCCGAGTTGCAATACACGGCTAACAGCCCCATGGACTCCATGAGCATGCCCCAGGAGCCCACGGTCTCCGCGGGCATGGGGTCCGGCCGCTTCACCTGCGACGTCATCTTGAACGCGTCGACGCGGATCTGCAGCAGGATCTCGCCCGCGCCCAGCAGCGGCACGAGGTACCAGCCCAGCGTGAACATGGTCACGAGGCCCATCTGCAGCACGATCTCCGCGAAGTCGTCGAACGTCGACTCGAAGTCGTCCAACTTGAGCTCCGCCTCGAAGCGCGGCGCCTCCGCGGCCTTCTCCTCCTTGCCGTTCTCCTCGTCCTCCTCGTCGTCGGAATCGTCGTCCTCGATGGTCGGCGGCATGAAGTACTCGATGGCGCGCTTGATGCGCGTCGAGAACGCGCTCAGGATGTTGAGCGCGTAGCGCGTGCCCATGATCGACACGAGCAGCGAGTACAGGTCGCCCAGGCAGTCGTCGTCCGTGCACTCGAAGTAGACGCCCTTGAAGAAGGCCGTGATGGCCAGCGCCGAGTAGTTGTTGAAGATCTCGAAGCAGAACTTTTTGGTGATCAGATTATTCTCGTAGGCGGTCTGCGTCTGGTAGTTCTCGTGGTTGTTCATGATCTCCGCCTGGATGCCGTACAAGTAGGACATGACCTGGATGAGCAGGGACTGGAAGATGGTCACGTAGTCCGCGAGGCTCGCCCAGACGCCGCCGAGCTCGTAGAGCATGACGTACTGCACCTTGAAGATCACGAGCACGATCGTGACGAGCGCGACGATGAAGATGAGGATGAGGAACACGGAGAAGGTCTGGGTCTTGAAGCGCCGCTCCGGCGGGTAGTAGGTCTCGTTCTGGTTCGTGATGGGCGAGATGCGCCGCGGCTGGTCCTCGTCGCCGACGAACTGCGGCCGGTCCGCCTCCTCCTCCTCGAAGTTGAGCGTGCCCCACTTGACGGCGCAGTACTGGGACTCGATGTCCCACTGCTCCTTGTAGTAGGCGCTCCAGACCACGAGGAACACGGCCATGAGGAACTGGTCGTAGTGGATGCCCTTGGCCTCGTCGTCGACGTCGAACGCCGACGTGTAGAGTAAAGCTAATAAACCCGCGATGGCCGGCATCATGAGCATGTAGCCGTAGAAGGAGAGCCAGGCGAAGTACAGCGCGATCTTCTCGCCGTAGTAGGACCGGATCTCCATCAGGGGCTGGCTCCAGGGCTTCAGGTACCACGGGCACCGCCGGCCCTTCTCGATCGCGTAGTGACTCAGGTACGGCGCGCCGATGCGGTCGCTCTCCGAGTTCCAGAAGAAGACCCAGCGCTTCTGGAACCAGTCCGTCGTCGGCATCTCGCCGTAGTTGGCGTCGTGGAGCGCGTGGAGCCCGCCGACGACGTCCTTCTCTTTCAAGACGCCAAAGTCGAAGACCTCGTCGATGATGCGCTTCGTGAGGTAGAGGCGGTCCTTGGGCAGGAACAGGGTCTTGCCGCGCACGGACGGGTACTCGTCGAAGAGGTGGCGCTCCTTGGCCTGGTTGTCGAAGGCCGCGTACGCCGCGTAGGGGTTGGACACGGGCACGCGGTCGACGATGCGCTCGAGCGTGTGGATGCGGCGGCTCCAGTGCTTCTTGGAGGGCTCGTCGTCCTCGAAGATGCCCATGTCGTTGGGGCCGATCTTCGACACCTTGTAGAGCCCCTCGAGGATCTCCTGCGCGACGACGCGCTCGTACATGACCTGCTCCTCGGCGATCTCCGTATAGATGGGCCGCCCCTCGCGGTCGTTGCGGCTGCTCCGCCGCCAGAAGGCGATGCCCGGGTCCACCTCGTCCTTGAACTTGAACTTGTAGTCGAGCGCGTCGGCCTTGCGCTCCAGCAAGGAGATCGGCGCGCGGATCTGGCAGTAGACCTTGCGCTGGTTCTCCGCGGGCAGCGACAGCTTGAGCTGCAGCCCGCTCCGCCGGCTCAGCAGGTCGATGACGTGCTCGCGCACGAGGTTCAGGAACTCCCAGCGCGGCACCTCCGCGCGCGCGTCGTCGACCTTGCCGAAGCGCGCCTCCCAGTCGCGGAGCAGGAGCCGCACGCCCTTGTTCTTCTTGTCCTCCTCGCCGGGGATGGCCTGGAACCAGATGAGCTCGACCTCGCTCCAGCTCACCATGTCGACCTCGGGGCCCGCGGCCAGCGCGTCCGGGTCGCCGTCGGCCTCCTTGGGCTTCTTCGGCCGGCTGTTCTCGAAGACGATGAGGTAGTCGTACTTGTCCGCCGTCGGGTCGAAGGCCGCGATGTCCGGGTCCGTCAACACCGAGTTCTGCTGCGGCTGCATGCGGCTTCGCGCGCCTAGAGGGTGGGTCGTGCGAGGGGGCCGCGCGACGAGGGTCGTTCGTTTTGAGGGGCCGCGCGCGATGGAAACGAGGGAGCGAATTTCGCGCGATGGAAACGAGGGAGCGAATTTCCATAGAGCTCTCGGGCGCCGGGCGCGCGCGCTGCTGCGGCTCCATGTAGCCGTCGTCGTCCTTCTTCTTCTTGCCGTCGTCGGCCTTGCTGAAGATCGACCCCATCGGCCCGGAGCCGGCGGCGCGGCGCGGGCGCGACGCTGCCGTCGACGATGTGCGGCGTGGCTCTCCACAAAATCTCGGCACGATGGCGGCTTCGCAAACTCTTTTCCCTACCTTGACCTCGCGTTGCCCCCCACATGATGGACATGAGCAGCCCCCTATAGTCGGCAGCATGCGCCGGGCCCGCCGGTCGACCAGCGTCTACGAGGTCGCGAAGAAGTGCGCCGTCGTGCGCGCCGAGGCGGCCATGGACTCGCCGGTGCGCTGCGAGCTCGGCCGCGGCGCCGCCGTCATGATGAGCAAGCGCGTCACCGTCATGACCGCCGACGGCAAGTCCGTGGACCGCTGCCTGCTCACGCGGCCCGTCGAGGGCTGGACGTCGTTCAAGTGCCTGGCGGCGAGCGCCCAGAAGCCGCCGCCGGACCCGAAGGCCTACCGCGACGGGAGGATCGACGCGATCCTAGCGAGCGAGGCCGACGGCGCGCCGAGCGAGCCGCGCGTCGCGGCGCCCGCGGGGGCGGCGCGGGGCGCCGCCGTCGTGCTGGGCTTCTGGGGCAGCTCCCACGAGCTCGTCGCGGACCATACGGCGCTCTGGGTCGGCCGGGGGCTCGCGACGTGGACGCACGTGCCGTCGCCGGGCGAGGACGCGGCCGCCGCGCGCGGCGCGCTCGCCGCGTTCCTCGAGGCGGCCCCGGCGGACCGCCTGGTCGTCCACTGCCTCAGCAACAACGGCTTCTCCTGGCTGAACGCGTTCTGCGAAGACCGCGGCGATCTCTTAGCGACCGCGGCTTTCGTCTTCGACAGCGCGCCCCACGTGCCCAACTGTGTGGCATTCAAATCTTCAACCCGACTTCAATGTGCTCGTGCGACGGTTTCGACGCAAGCACTTCCGCCGTGCTTCGAGAACTCGACGAGAGCAATCGATTCGTCCAAAAATCAGCCGAATCGACTTCGATGTGATCGAGCTAGAGCATTCTCAAGTTTGGTCAGGACCACCCAACCCAGTGGTTGAATTCCACACAGGTCCCCAAAACCGTCGAGGACGCCCTGGCCATGCTCATCCGCGCGCAGACGGCCAAGGTCTGCCAGGCGTTCGGCGAGCCGCCGGACCCCCAGCACCCGGTCTACCGGCCGCGCGTCGAGCGGTTCTACGGCGACGGGTCCAGGAACCCGTTCCCGGGCCTCGTGGGCATGCAGGTGAGCATCCCGAAGGCGCGGCCGACGCTCTTCGTCTACTCGCGCATGGACTCCGTCATCCTCCCGGAGCACGTCGAGGAGTACGTCGCGACCTACGACGCCGCGGACGTGTCCACGCTCGAGTTCGCGACCGTGCCCCACATCGGCGGCATGCGCGTGCGCAAGGACGAGTACAACCGCAGCGTCGACGCGCTCCTCGCGCGGGCGTTCCCCGCGAGCGACGGGTCGGAAGCGATCACGGAGGCGATAAGCGCGGCAAGTTGAACGGCAAGTGCATCGAGCCGAGTGAGATGGACAGCCTCCTTGGGTCGGAGGCGATCACGGAGGCGATAAATACGGCAAGTTGAACGGCAAGTGCATTGCCAGTCCGCACGGGTCGGGATGGACAGCATCCCTGGGCGCAGCGCGGCCGCCATCGCCAGCGCCCGCCGCCGCGCGAGGTAGGTTCGAACGCGCCGCTGCCGCGCGGCCAGCATGTGGACCCAGCGCGCGCGCGAGTACGGGCCCATGTGCCTCGTGCTCCTCTGCACGGGCGCATTCCTGCGCGTCGAGACGGCGCGCCTCGCGGCGCGCGGCGACGACGTGAACCGCCTGCAGTCGGAGGTCGCGGCCCTCGACGGCCGGGCGGCGCGGCTCTTC